TCAGAAACCTCTGAATTCTAAGATACTGACAGTCCAAAAAAGATAGGAAAACTTGCTTACACGTTTTGCTTGGCATTTTTCTATCTCCAAAGTAATTACCTGATAAAGATTAAAATAATAGTGGAAGGAAGGAAGAAAGAAGAGAAAAAACAAAAAGAAGGAAGTAAGGGTGGGTCAGTGGGTGAATAATAAAGAATAAGAGAATGAAAATAGGACCAGTAGGACCTTGGTGACAAACCATCTAGCAGTATAATCAGAGGAAACTGGACTCCTGGTCCATTCATTGCTCACTCACAGGTGATCTGGGAGCAACTGGCATAAACTCTTTAAATGTCCCTTCTTCATGAGGAAACTGGAAATAATAATTGCCTTGTCGACCTCACTGAGAGGTGGGTAGTGAGGATTCAGTGAATTCATTTGAAAGCATAAAATTACTGAAATGTAAGAGACGATGGTAAACACAACTGATTGAGAGAGACTTCAGCAGGGCAGAGAGAGAATTGGCATTTTCTGATATCACCTAGGAGTGGCTCTAGCTTTCCCCTTTCCAGCAGATACAACGTACTTATTGCTCTATCAAAAAAGCATGTGATTTGCTATAGCAAGTTTTTCTCCTTTTTTCTTTTTTAAATTCTACCTTATCCAACGCCAAAGGAGAGATTAAACCAGTTTTAGAATTTTGTAAAAGATCTGCCCTGGCTAATATCTGAGATGGGTTGAAATTGAAGTGAGCTTTTACTGTAGATAAGCAGGAGGGTGGGAAGTTCACTCTAAAAGTAGCAGGAAGCTGGTGACGGAACTGTCCCTTAGATTTCAGTTTGTGAGGTGGTACCTGTCTCTTGAGCACATAGAGAAGGGTAATGGGTTTCCCCTTTTCTTTTTTTATTGTTGGTTGTTCAAAACATTACATAGTTCTTGACAAATCATATTTCACAGTTTGATTCAAGTGGGTTATGAACTCTAATTTTTACCCTGTATACAGATTGCTGAATCACATCAGTTACACTTCTATTGATTTACACATTGCCATTCTAGTGTCTGTTGTATTCTGCTGCCTTTCCTATCCTCTACTATCCCGCCTCCCTTCCCTTCCCCTCCCCTCTTCTCTCTCTACCCCCTCTACTGTAAATAATTTCTTCCACTTGTATTATTCTTCCCTTACCCCTCACTTCCTCTTGTATGTAATTTTGTATAACCCTGAGGATCACCTTCCATTTCCATGCAATTTCCCTTCTCTCTCCCTTTCCCTCCCACCTCTCATCCCTGTTTAATGTTAATCTTCTTATGCTCTTCGTCCCTACTCTGTCCTTAGTTACTCCCCTTATATCAAAGAAGACATTTGGCATTTGTTTTTTAGGGATTGGCTAGCTTCGCTTAGCATAATCTGCTCTAGTGCCATCCATTTCCCTCCAAATTCTATGATTTTGTCATTTTTTAATGCAGAGTAATACTCCATTGTGTATAAATGCCACATTTTTTTATCCATTCATCTATTGAAGGGCATCTAGGTTGGTTCCACAGTCTAGCTATTGTGAATTGTGCTGCTATGAACATCGATGCAGCAGTGTCCCTGTAGCATGCCGCGATGAAAATCTCTCCACTAGACTCTGGAGCACCTCAATTTCGCTGGAAATTCCCAACAAGACAGCCTTCAGCTGTTTTAACTCTTCATACTCCCGCACAGTGACGCGGCACACGGGGGTGATGCACTCCCTTCGCCGCCATCTTCCTCCTCCCTCTGGGTTTCCCCTTTTCAGAGGCAAACATTCTCCAAGTCCACAGTTCAAGCTGGTGAAAGTCGGTTGACTGCAGTTGCCAGGGAAAGGGCACTCTTTGCCCTTGGAGCTGGTATAGAGGTAGTCATATAAATAAATGGCCAACCTCTCTTCCTGCCTTCCCTGTCACCCCACCTATTTTTCAGGTTACTGATTAAACCTCCTTGGATTGAGAGTCCCCAGGTAGGTGAGGGGCATCTTCTTTCTGCTCAGATCTTGATGAGGAATGTTTCCTAGCATCAGCTTTTTCTAAATTTTGCTTTTGAATCATATATGGCATTGTCTGCTGCCTCTCTGTATGATTTCTTGTACTCCCTACTAGAGGCCCTAATAAACATCATACTTGTTCCATCCATTGCCCAAACATGATCGCTTGACAAATGTTTAAGTAGGATGATAGTTCCACTCAGTGCCAGTATTTTCAGTGTCAGGGGCTTTACTTCCATTATCTCTTGTTCTCATAAGTGAATGGCACGCGTAAAAGTTTCTGTTTTTACTTTTCACTTTATGGAAGAGAAAATGAAGGCTCAGTGAAGTTAGGTAATTTTCCCCAGCTAGCATAAGGCAAAGGCAGGATTGAAATCTGGGTCCCTCTAGTGTCAAAGTCTGTGGTTTCACACTTTTGTCTTATGCTTAGGTAAGATGAAGGTATAGAATGATGAAATGGGATAAATCAGCTAGTAGTATGTTCTAAGCTCTCATTTTATATATGGTCAAATGAGGTTTAGGGAGGGAAAGAGACTTTGGGGGGTTAAAGAGGAGCAGAACCAGGATGAGAAGCAGGTTTCCTGACACTAATATAAATATTTTGACCTTATGTGTCTTCTTTCTTTCATTCCTCCAGTACAGAGAGCATTAAAACTTAAGACTGCATGAAAAATTAAGGGAAGCAGTTAAATGAATCTCATAATATAAACGAGTTGGTGAGAGAAGGATCTGAAAGGACTGTGAAGAACATCAATTGTATGCTGGGTGTCTGGATGTCCTGAAGGAGGGAGGTGTGTGGAGAGAGACAAGGCTTTGGCTGTACATTTGGCTGGCTTCAGGTTTACCATGGGGTGTAGAACTTGAAATTTTATAAAGAA